TTCGCCTGGGGCGGCGAAAAAGCCAGAGCCGGCCCTGCCTGGGAGATTCCCCACATGCATGGACTCGCTGCCAGGGACAGAGCTGATGCCAGCAGACCGGGCTGGGACATGCCTAAACCCCAGCTCCTCTGCAGTGCTGCAGCCTGTAGGGACCACGGCAGCAGGGGTGCATGATAAAGCAGCCTGTAAAGCTGACCTAGCCCCTGGGGGGCAGTGTGCCTTGAACGGGTATTAAACTGGCCGGGGGGGAGGGGGGAGCGGGCAGCTGCTTTGTGATTTGTCCCCAGCCTCAGACAGACAGTCTCTACACAGGTGAGCTTTGATCTGTTGTCGGCACCATTGCACAAACCTGCTACCAAGACAAATTTTTAGCAGGTGGAAAGAAAACTAATACCCAGCTTGTCTGATGCGTGGTGGGGATTCGGTATATCGGAACATGTGTAGTGTGCTAGAAATGCTGAGCATTACTCCTCTGCTTTGCCACATTATTACCTAATATCCAAGGTTTGCTCCAGATTCTGTTTGAAATATCTGAGCTGGTTTGGCCAGCTGACGCTGCTGATTTACACCAACCAGCCCCAGTCAGGGACCAGGACCCAGGGCACTAGGTGCAATGCAAGCAGATTCCCTCCCTGAGTTATTCGGACAAGGCCGGAGGGCCATTGTTTCTGTCTGCCCGCATGCAGTGACTCTCCTGTAAGCAAGAGGAATTCATGCTTCGCTGTCTGGTGGATTTGTGTCTGGCACAAGCCATTGTTAACGGAGACTTGACATACAGCCTGTATGGCTGCAGGGCTTGACCACTGACTTGGCTTGATTGTTGAATGACTGAATGGGGAAAAAATGATTGGGTTGAGACGACTGCATAAGGAGATTAAAGCCCTTTCACTGTCATCCAGTTACCAGTATTTTTTTTTAACCTGATGTCTAGGGTTTATGTTAATAAACAACGTCTGACCTGAGCAGTCTCCGATCTGTAAGTAATGAAGCTTCCTCACTGTTATTGAGTTATTGTTAGTTAAAGGGTTTTATTCCATCTCCCTGTAGCATATTGATGCATTTTATCATGCCCGCTTCTTGCTACTGAGAATAGATGGGGCTTGTTAACTCACAAAGGGGCTATGGGCCACCAGTTGTTGTGTAGCAGGGATATTATTTTCCTTTTATATATTGTGCCATATGTGAATCGCCCTTTTCAGCACCTGCTTATTGAGCACTCTGCTGGGGATTTTGTGTTATTCAAGGTACAGAACATTTGGGACGCTGCTGTGCGTTATTCTATCCGGGTTCAGGGATTAGCCCAATGTTCTACCACGCAGGCTGCAAGAGATAACAACTGAGGTGCCTGCAAATATACTTTTAATACAGGGGAATGCGCAGCTCTCAGATTTCTAGGAGGCAGGACACGTTGCAGGGAAATTCTAGCTTACTCTGGGTTCAGGATGAGCTTTGCAATGATTTGGGGTGAGTTCCTGGCCCCAGCGATGCTAATGTCTGAACCCAGTTGGCTTCTGCAGGGGCACCCTTTGTGTTTCATTCCGCTGGGAATTTTAAAACGAGAAGGAAGCAATTGCAGTTGGTCTGATGAATGTGTCAGGGAGCTCGGTTGCTTTGGAAAGTCAGCCTGGATCACGTTCAATAGCTTATGTTGCTGAGATCTTTATGAATTAAACCCGCAGCATAATGTGAACCCCATGCTCTTGGGCTACATGGTGCCCCCAAGATCCCGACGTGGAGAAGACCCCGCCATCACCACCGATCGACCCCCGTGCATGGAAAGAGGGCTCAGGTAAAATCTGCGGCCGCATTCCCCTTTCCAGGATTCCTGACGCCCAGCCCTATGCTCGCTCCAAAGGTGTCACTGTCTGCTGGCTTTCCTTTGCCCTGGGGGGCCCGTCCGCTCTAGGGCACCATAAAGCAGCCGCCTAGGAATGCTGCTTATTGTATATGAAACACGATATCCCAGGGCACAACAGCGCTTCAAGGGAGCAATGCCTCTGTGGCGCATGGGGTACTTGGGTATCCTTCCTCGAGACCCCGGGGAAGCAGCAGCGTCTGCTGCCAGGTTCTGGGAGGGAGTGATCATCGTATCATAGCGTCCAATCACGAAGGGGGGGGTCAGAGGTAGGAGGCCCTGCAGATCAGTGGAGGCATGGGGGGAAGCTGGCAGAAGGAAGGGGTCTGTGTGAGACCAAGCCCTGAGTTACCCAGCTAATGTCTCTGCTTCCCAGGCTCTGTGCCTTTCACGGGTGGGTTGCAGATGTTGGGTGAGTCTCAGAGCCCCTGGAGATGGGTTAGGGGTATAGAGATCAGTGTTCAGGGGTGGGCTCTGTGTGAGACCCCAGCCAGCTACAGCAAGGCAATGCACCCCTCCGGGGTAAGAGGTAGCTGCTGGTTTAAAGTGCCCAGCAAGGCTACGCCGCAGTGCAGGGTAGGATGTGAAGAATAACGCTGTACGCAGCTGGGGTGGGGGCAGAGCGGGTAAGGGGCAGAGGGTGGAGAGGCAGCCGTGCTCTGCACTGAGACTGCAGGGCTGAGGCGAGGAAAGGGAATTCTCTCTGCAGTGACGGTGGGTGCAGAAGGGGCAGTTTGGAGGGGAAGGCAGCAGCGTCACGAGCCGACAGCCCTGCTCCTGCCACACACTCCATTTCCACCAGGCCAGGGCCAGCGTTTCACCAGCGCTTAGTGCAATCGATGCCGGTTGGGTCCTGAGTTCTTTGGAAAATCAGGCCCCGGAGGTGGGCCCTGAGCGCCTGAAAACGTGGCCTGAAATGCTCCGGCCCTCAGCTTCCCAGCTCTGCAGAAAGAAAGTAGCAGCGTGGCCCCCAGCTCTTGGCTGGGATGTTAGGTAGTTAAGGAACAGCGACATCAGCTGAGCCAGCCGGGCCACTTCCTGCAGCACAGCGGGACCGGACCCCCCACTGTCCTGCAGCCAGGACTAAGGCCATAAAATGGCACATTGCATGCTGAGATCTTTAGTAAATCTGCTCCCGCGTGCTTGCCCTCCCGTTCCCCCCAGGGGTCAGCAATGTGTCCGTACAAAGACACAAGTGTCCGTGGTAAACATGTTGAGCTCTGTGGTAATGAACGACATAACCCTCCCGATGTCCGTCACTAAGTCTGGTAATTTTGTCAAGCGTCCATCGCGCAACATGGTGGTGCCGACCCTGGTTCCCCCCACCCATCTGACTGTCCCCTGTCCACTCCCCATCATCCTCATGGATCCCATTTCATCTGCCGCCCCCCAGCGCTTCCTCTGCCTCTTGGCTTTGCTAACGCCTGCGCGCCGCACCCTGGCTGCCTGCTCGTGCCGCTCCTTGCACAGGGACCCAGCAGCAGCTTCCCCCAGAGGAGGGTGACGGGCCCTTCCGGGGGCCCACACACAGTCCGAGGCCTGCCTGGTCCCACGGGCAGGGGTGCTCAGTTCCAGTCGCTAAGGCAGAGCCCAGAAGCGCCGCATTCCCTATCACACAGCTCCTGCCCCCAAATTGCCCCCTTGCAGCACCAGATGCTCCTGGGGGCCCCCCAACTGCCATGCATGGTGGAAAGACTCTCGACACACACACACACACACACACACACCCCTGCCGGCTTGTGAGGCTGGTCCAGAATCCCGACAACCTAAACAAACCTGTGCTCTCTCCAGTGCTAACCCCTCCCTGACCAGTAGGGACCCCGTCCTTCCCGGGTGCAGAAATGAGGGGACACGGCCACTGAGCTCCCTTGGGCTCCTGCTTCACCCGCAGAGACCACGCAGCAGCAGCAGCGCCTCAAGCACGCTCCGTGGGAATCTTTTTATTGTCACAGCGAAAGGCACGTTGGGGAACTGTAGCACCGGAGCAGGGCTGCCACCACAGGACGCTGCTTCAGAGAGGGACAGAGCTGAAGACGTTCGCAGATCTGGGGACAGGGCCAAAGCCAGCAGGCTCCACGGTCCGCTGCATTTCTGCTGCCTACGCTACCCAGTGGCAACTTCACTCCAAGCCGCAGCGTCCGTCTAGGGAGCAAAGAGACCAGGATAGCGCCTTGCTGAGAACGGAGCCTTCAGGCAAGGAGAGGCTGTGCAGCCCATCTGTCTAACCGCAGAGGGGAAATCCTGGCACAGAGCTGCTTCCCGATGCCCCCACAGGGTCCTCCCATGCTTTGGCCTAGGCAGCTCTCTTCCTACAGACATGTCCTGCCCCTTACCCCCCCACTGTATGTCCAGGCTCCAGCTCCACTCATCTGTCTCCCCGCTGGCCCCAGCCCACTCCCCCTGCATGGGCACCAAGGGCCCAGGCCTGGGCTCCCGTATACTGATGCTCCCAACCCAGAATCCGACCGGTGCTTTGGCTCTCCCCGTACATGCCCACCCCTACCCTCCATGTGTCAGGCTATACTCATTTCCCTGTTTGTGACCGCTGACATCTCCCAAAGACTCTGTGCTCCCCGACATGCTAGAGCTCCCCTCACCCACATGCCCACTAATGACACAGGACTCTCCACACACCTCCACCCTCACCCCCTGGCTCATGCCCAGCAAGGCCCCAGGATTGCAAGCGGCTTCTCTCGCAGGGCTTGTCTTGTCACCAGACTCACTCAGTGACAGCAAGGCCCGGGTCTCTGCTCTCCCCCCCCCCCCCCCACTGCTCTGGCCAGAATACGCGCGACCGCTCAAACAGCCCTCTCACCACCAGCAGGCAGCCCACATGGGGCGAGCTGGGATGGTACTGATCACGCAACCTAAAATGTAGCAACCGTGTCTGGGTCCTTGGGGACAGATGCCCCTGCCCCAACTGGCCTGATTATAGCCCCAGCTAGACGCCAACCTACCTTGTTCTTCATCAGATCCGCCACACAGCCCTCACTGGGGTACTGTGGAAAAGCACAAGAGCCTGTAACAATCCCATAGCGGAGTCAGGAAAACGCCCCTTGGGCCTTTCCCACTCGTGCTGCAGGATGACTCCAGCCCTCATTCCCACCAACGTCTTCTTTGCCCTGCCCCTCAATCTCTGCCATCATGGGGGGGGGCCCACAAACCCCGCCCTCAGGGAATCTAGTACCCAGACCCACTAGTCTGATGTAGGAATGTTTCCCTGTCTACTCAGCCTTGGCTGCAAGCCACCACCTATTGCCCTACCACCATCGGTCCCTGGCCCTCTTCCCAGGCTGTGCGCTCTCCTGTTGGCTCTACTCTTACCCTGAAGGTATTGGCGGCTGCACTCATGGCCTCTCCGCTTTGCTGGACTGTACGCTCAGCTCCTAGTCACTAACCCAGGTGTCATCTCCTTGCCTGTCTTTGTGGTGCTCTAGTTTTTCCAGCCTGCATAGCCTGGTCCCACCTGAGGGCTTGGCTCCTCTAGGGTGCGTGTGACTTCCCCACCCCGCAGCGTGCATATATCGGTCACTAGTCCCAGCTTCTTCTACAGTGTCCGCACCGGCTCAGCTCACTGGGGTCCTGTCTCTGCGGGTGCATTTACGCCAACAGAATTACTACCCTTAGCCCAGCAAGGCTGCAGCTGCAGTGACGCTGAGCCACTATAGTGGATGGGGACTGAGGGGGCATGAACCGTCCCTCAGCTGTGAGGCCTGCCAGGGCTGGTGTCTCCGCTGAGTCCTCTCAGGTGGGAGCCAGCCAGCTACTGGGCATACGCATCCCTACGCCAGCTGGCAACTGATGAGGACGGGCTCCATTGTCGTCTCATTGACTGTGGGTGCTGGTGCTGGGCTGAGCCAGAGTGCTGGGGGATGGCACCCGTTTTGAGGTCACCCCAGAGCAGGCAGCAGGGCAAGCTCCAGGGGGAGCTGACGGGCTGTGCCGGCTCGTTCCAGGAAGGGGATTAAGCCCCCCGCGGTGGTTCACTAGCGAAGCCATTCGCAAACGATAGCAGGTCCCCAGGTGCCTTCTACCATCTTCAACTGGGCCAGACGCTGTGTCCCTCTTCCCCGCTGACCCCTGCACTGCTGGATCCTAGGCCCCATACCTCCATGCAGGAGGGTTATGTCGTGCACGTCCCTTGGCGCTACCCTGCAGGGCTCGTCAAAAGCTGCAGGTTGTGCAGCACGGCTGCCCGATGTCGGCAGGGCAAGCCAGTGGGAACGCCTAACACCTGTGCCCAAGGCCCGCCCAGGCTTCACTCCCGGGTGTGATTCAAGCTGTTAATAATATAGCCCTCTAGGACGACCTGTCCTCACTGCATCTGACGAAGTGGGTATTCACCCACGAAAGCTCATGCTCCAATACGTCTGTTAGTCTATAAGGTGCCACAGGACTCTTTGCTGCTTTCACCTGTCCTCACTGCCACTCCATTGTGAACAGCTGCAATGCACTTGCTCACTTCCTGGGGGCACTGGTAAGGTACCAGGCTCTCACCCCTGGAACCACTCCCTCTCGTGGCCCGGCAGAGGCCAAGTTTGGTGACTCCTTGGCCACAGAGCCAGGTGTGTCTGTCCAGGCTAGCGGCTTAGGGGGCTGCTTGGGGGGGGGGGGGCAAGGGGTGTGGCCAGCAGCTGGATTGCTAGTTTATATGGTGGGGAGGAGGGGTGCCTAGAGCAGCGATCTGGCTAACTGGCTTGTAGCTTCCTATTTTCAGCCTTCCCAATGGAGGTGCCCGTGTGTGCCACTGCCTGGTCGCCAGACAGCGCTCCTGGTTCCCTGCACACTGGGGCAGCTCAGCAGATGGGCTCTGGCTGGCTGGTCACCACGCCTGCCTGAAGCCCTAGCGCAGCTGTTACAAAGCCCAGTATAGCAGGAGGCTCTTTGCCACCCCTGGAGCCTAATATCCCAGCCGCAGAGCTCAGCTTAAAGAGGTCGCAGTGGGGAAATACGGCGAGGCTGCGGCACTCCAGAGGGAGGGCACATGATCGGGATCGCCACGGGACCATTCCTCATTCCAGCCAGCGGCGTCTGGGGGAGCCAGGCACAAAACCGGCCCAGCTAGCCGCGGCCGTGGGGCGCCCATCACGGTAGCATCTGGGCGCTGGGCCTTGTGCACAAAGGCAACGTGAGATGGAAAGGGATGTTCTACTGGAAACCCTGAGGCCTTCCAGCCTGAGCACTCCCCTCTTACCCGCCCTGGGCAGCGAGCTGGGAATGGCAGTGAGATCATGGCCCGGAGAGCCACAACCAGCTGGCAGCTGCTCAGTAAGGGACCTAGGCCCCACTTTGGTGGACAGGTTTCGCATCACAACAGTTCTGGTCACGTGGTCATGGGGGGTGCTGAGCGCTTTGGAAAACCAGGGCACAGCTGAGGATGCTGAGCCCTTGGGAATGGGCTCTCGCTGGCTCTCCTATTAACCGTCTCCACCCAGCAGTCTCCACCCGATGGGCTCTGGAAGATGCATGCCCCACCCAACCCATCTAGGTGCTTATATGGCCCTCCTCAGTCCCAAAGTACTAATGAAGGGCTGGCCTGGGGCCCCTTCCCTATGGGCATGGGGTGCTCATCCACCGCCTGTGCTGCACCGAGGGTAGCATCTGTCTCTCGGGCTGTAGAAGGTGCTGGGAATGTCCTAACTAGAGCCTGCTGCCTATCTTCCTAAATCTGGGGCAGATACAGCCCTTCCCCCATGACACATTCATGTCACCCACTGAGGAGTGGGTGTTACAGGTCTCCCGCTGTGCCAGACTGGTAGAGGGATAGGGAGGTTTGACTCTAGCTCAGACTGGAGCCATTCATGCTTTTAGCTCTGGAGGGCGCCCGTTCAATCCCTGCTGTCCCCCAAGATGGCAGCCATCAGACGCCCCCTACATACAGTGAGGCAGGAGGAGATTCCAATGCAGTGCAGTGGGCTTCAGTAAAACATGCAGGGTTGAGATTTAAAGAGGTCTAACGCCCCAGATCTCAGTGGGACCCAGGCACCTGGACAGCTCAGGCTGTGATTTTCAAAGACAAGCAACCCCAGTGCTGGGACAAGGAACAGAGCCACAAAGGCCACCAGCCCGCCAGCCCGCCAGCCTTACCTTTCACATCAAGCCTACAGTCCACCGAGGCTTCCCCGAGGGGATTGACCGCTTTGCAGGTGTACACGCCGCCGTCGAATGGGCTGGGTTTCCGGATTTCCAGCGAGCAAACCCCCTCGTTGATCACTGCGATGTACTTGGGGTCTTCCCGAATCTCCGTCTGGTTTTTCAGCCAGATGATTTTGGGCTGAAAGACAGCGGGTTTCGTTAGCCGTAGAAATGAGCTCGTGGCAGCTGGAGGCAGCCCACTAGCCCAAAGCTTCTTCCTGTAGCCAGTGCTCTGCCTCTGGTCGTCTTCATGGCTTTTCTGCACTGGTCCTGACAGTGAGGCCTTTGAAGAGCCCCTTTGCCGTGGTGAATTAGAAGCCACCCAGCTGGTGTGATCTGTCCATTTCTGGATAGGACGCTCAGGGCACGCAGCAGGGCCTTTGGGGGAACAGCCGTCCAGGGCCCCATGCCCATCGCTGATGGGGCAATGGGGTAGCTCCCTGTGTGTGCGTGTAATGGGGCTTTGGCGCAGCAGATGAGTTAACCACACAGGTGGCACCGTTCCCTTTGTGGTGGTAAAACACCCTGATGCCATGGAGAGGGGCACCCTAGATACTAACACACTTGCCCTCTGCAGCCCCACTGGGAAGCAGGCAAGTATTACTAGCCTCATTTAAGAGATGGAAAAATCGAGGCTGAGGTGACGTGACTTGCCTGAGGCTGTATGGTGAATAAACAGCACCAGCAGGATTAGAACCCAGGTCCCCTAGCTGGTAGCCTTACGGTCCAGCTGCTGCTTCTTTAAGGCAGTAGGAAAGTCTATGCGAGGAGGATGGTACATGTGCCTGGAGAGCCCAGGCAGAGTTTCTGCACCCCCCACAGGCTTGGCGCACTCCCCTGACCTGCCAAAATGGGGCGCTGCATTCCCAATGCTCTCAGATAACTCCTCCAGCCCATTCAGACACCGACCCCACTCATGGAGCAGCCTCCGAGCCCGCTCCTTCCTGGCCGCCTGGTGCCACCCAAGTACCCTGCACAGTAACGCTGCAGGATCCAGCGGCCGCTCAGGCACCCACCCCGTGAAGAGACGTGTGAGGGAGGGCAGAGGAAAGGCGGGGTGAGGAAAGGGTGGAGTCTCACCTTGGGGAAGGCCCGGACGCAGCAGAAGAGCTGGGTGTTGTAGCCTCTGGTGGTAGACCTGTCCGCCAAGGGCTGGGTGAATTTGGGAGGTTCGGAGAAGTCCCGGCCCGAGTACTTCTCGGGCTTGTAAGCAATTTCTAGGAAACAAACAGCAGGTCACAACAGTGGCTGCCTGTGCCCTGGCGCTCGGGCCAGGCAGCGGTGGGGCTCGGGCGCCCTTAGCAGAGAAGCACTGAATACTCCAGAACACCCTCCTCCCAGGACCAGAAGCAAACCCTGAGCCTCAGCCAAGAGTTGGTCACTGGAATGTGTCCCCGCCCCGTGCTCTGTACCAGCCCAGGAGAACCCCCCCACTGCAACAGCCACCAATGTTGTCTCAGGGGGCCAACATCTCATGCTGGGAGAGCAGCTCTGAGGCCATGCCACCCCATGCTACCTGGCAGGAGATCACAGGAGAGAAAGCTACGGATGGGGGAGAAATTACAAGGGAGACCATCCCTCCTGGGGAAAAAAAGCTATTTTAGACAGGTTTAAGAGAATATTTATTGGGACAATTTTTCATATCCTTCCGCCTTTGAAGCTAGAGGCTGAATCCAATGTTACAGACCCCAAAGAGGGCCCCAGAGCCTCCCCAAAGTGCTGTAAGCTAGCTGTGTGCCTTTCACACTGTACCGTCCGCTACCACAGGCTCTTGGGGGGTCAGGAACAAGGGCTGCGCTAAGACTCCCCCTGTTCTAACGGGAGAGCGCTCCCGTTTCGAGCCTGGCAGGGCACGAGCCGTTGGACCCGAATGCTGCAACCTTTCGATGTCTAGAAAACCCTGGGCCTCCTCCTTTCACTCACATCAGCCTTGCGGAGCTGCCGCCAGCAGCAGCTTTCCCAGCCAAGCTGTTTGGCCCCCCATTGGCCATTGGCCACCTCTTAGGGAGAGCGCCTCCTCCCCGCCTGGCCGCTGCTCCCTGTTGGGCGTCCCCAGCACCAACCTGGTTTCCGGATGTGGGCCAGCTCCGTGGTGAAGGCCGCTGTGGCGCTGTGCCCGCAGGCGTTCTCTGAGAACACCCGGAAGGAGTAGCTGTTGCCGATGATGAGGTCGGAGACGGTGCAGCTGGGCCGGGGGCAGCGCTCCAGCACGGTGAACCATTGCTGAAAGCCGAGGGGAGCCAGGCTATTAGTGTGGGGCATGGTGAACACCACCCAGCCCCCGGCGCGCTTCCCATTGCAAGCCCCAGTGCTGGGAGAGTGGGGTCAACCCCCCGCCACGCTTACAGCACAGGTTGGCAGGCAGCCTCTCAGCCCAGACCCTGGGGGGAGCCCTGGGCCCTGGCGCTCCAGCTATAGGACCGGGGTCTACCCAGGCACCGAGTCGGTCTTTCCGCACCTGCATCCGCGCAGCGTCCCCACTGCAGCCCCTCTGCCTTGAGGAGCCGAACCCAGCTTGGCCGAGGCCTTCACCCTCCCGTGAGGCGCCAGGCAGGAGCTGAGGTTCCTTAGATGGACGCGCTGCCCGAGCCAGCATGGCAGCCAGCTTCGCCCCCGCCCCCTGCCCCATCTGTTCTCTCCTCCTCATCTCTGCATTAACAGCTCTCTCCCTGCTCCACGCCACTCCCAGCCATCGTCCTGCTCCACCTTCACCCTCTCCTCAAACCCACTCGCATCCTCCCCCACTCAGTGTGAGCCGCCTCCCCTGCCCTCCATCCCTCCCTCCCTCAGCAAATTCTGCTCGCCCCAGGGCCTGATGGTGGCCTGGCCCTTCTGCTCTCCTCAGACCTCTGCTGGCCCCTTGATATCAGCCCCTCCTGACCTTCCCGACATCCTCCATCAGCCTGTCGCTCTCCACGGGCTCTTTTCTCCCGGATTTTAACATCACTCCATCTCCCCTCTCATAATCCCTCCCTTGAGCCTCCCCACCCGCCCCTCACAGCCAAGATCTTCAGACACGCAGCCTTGGCAGTCCGGCTTTAACATCTCACACCAGCCATCCAATGGCCACCTGGCCCCTTCTCCAGCCTCATCTCCCTGGACCTTCCCATCGTCTTTGATCCTGTTGATTGCACCACCCGTCTCAGCTGCCTCTCCCCAGGCACGTCTGGTTCTCCCCCCGCCTCTCTGGCCACTCCCTCAGTGTCGCCTGTTGTGTCTCCCCCCAACCGCCGTCCATGAGTGTCCCTTAAGGGCTTCTCCTTGGGGCTCCTCCTCTTCCCCCTTCGTCCTGGGTGACCTTATGTGCTCTGATGGCTTCAGCTGCCATCTCCCAGACATTTCGCAAAGCTCCCCCAGCCCATCCATTCAGTCTCATGTCTGCCCCTGGCTCCAGTGCCCCAGCTGGAGGGCGGCATGGCAAAGACAGAGCTCATCGACTTAAAAGCCAGAAGGGTCCATCATTTCATCTGACCTCCTGCACACTGCAGGCCACAAACCCTCACCCGCCCATCCCTGCAATAGTCCTATCACTTCTGGCTGAGTTACTGGAGTCCTCAAATCATAACTTAAAGAGAATCCACCACTGACACTAGTTTAAACCTGCAAGTGACCCGTGCCGCACGCTGCAGAGGAAGGCGAAAACCCCCCAGGGTCTCGGCCGATCTGACCTGGGGGGTAAATTCCTTCCCAACCCCAAACATGGTGATTTGACCCTGAGCATGTGGGCAAGACCCACCAGCCAGACACCTGGGAAGGAATTCTCTGTAGTAACTCAGAGCCTTTCCCATCTGGTGGCCCATCTCCAGCCGTTGGAGATATTGGCAGCTAGCAGTCACAGATCAGCGCCATGCCACTGTAAGCAGACTCCTCACACCATCCCCACCAGAAACTTATCAAGTTCAGTCTTGAAGCCAGTTAGGGTTTTTTTGCCCCCACTGCCCCCCCGCTTGGGAGGCTGCTCCAGAACTTCACTCCTCTGATGGTTAGAAACCTTCGCCTAATTTCAAGCCTAAACTTGTTGATGGCCAGTTTATCTCGCCCAGTAGAGAATCCAGGGCCTGTCCCATTACTCAGGCCTTGGGACCACCCTTACAGCCAAAAATAAGCCATGTAGCCACGGCAGTGGGAGCAACAGGGAGGGGCTAGCTGCAGTGTAGACACCCGCTAGGAACTGAAAGAGATTCCTCATCTGGGCAACTCTGAAGTGGGTGGACCCTGATACCGTCCCCCTCGACTGTTATTTTAGCCTATTAATTACACGTAGGGCAGGTGAAAAACAAAAACCAACACAGGCCACAACTCTGATTTCCGCCAGGAGGCGACATGTGGGTGACTTCTCTGTGCAAACCTCTGGTACACAGCTGGGCAGATTTGCCTCCCCTTGGGATAACCTCGAGAACGACTTGGGGACGTTTTGCCAGGGCCACCCAGAGGATTCAGGGGGCCTGGGGTCTTCGGCGGCCGGGGGCCCCCGCCGCCGAAGACCTGGCACTTCGGTGGCGGGTCCCGGGGCGTAAGGACCCCCCGCCGTGGGTCTTCAGGGCACTTCGGCGGCGGGTCCTGGAGTGCCGCCGAAGACCCGGAGTGGAAGAAGCTCCGGGGGCCCGGGCCCCGCGAGAGTTTTCCGGGGCCCCTGGAGCGGGTGAAGGACCCTGCTCCAGGGGCCCCGAAAAACTCTCGTGGGGGCCCTTGCGGGGCCCGGGGAAAATTGCCCCGCTTGCCCCCCCCTCTGGGCGGCCCTGCGTTTTGCTGGGTGAGCTGCAGAAAAAAATGCACTGACAGAAGATGCCATTCTTGATAGCTTAGGTAGTTACTGAGATACCAGCCTGTAGCGGGGTGGTCACCCGCTCCAGCCGTAAAGGGCTTAAAACAGCCCAGGAGAGGGCTGTGTCTGGGAGCAAGCAGTTCCCAGGCTGATTGGGGAAGCAGGCTCAGCTGTGGCCACGCCCCAATCAGGGCTCAGCTGTCCCTTATAAGAGGGCAGTGGGCCAGGAGCAGAGTCAGTCTCTCTCTGCCTCTAGAGAGGGAAGGGCCTGGCTGCTTAGGAGCTCACAGGGTACCTAGAGTGGAGCAGGGCTGGGAAAAGACCAGAGGAGCTCTGGCCTGGAAACCTCCCAGGCTGCAGGCCTTGGTAAAGACCCAGAAGGGTACTGGGGTTGCAGAGGCCAGCCCAGGGGTAGGCCAAGGCAGCAGGTCCAAACCCCCCTTGCCTGTGATGAGTGGCTCGTACACTGCAGTCTGCCCCAGTGAACGGGGGCTAGATGATGACTGGCAGTAGCCTGATACTGAGGCGAGGTGGAGATAGTGGGTTGGGGTTCCCCTGGGTGGGGAGACCCAGATACTGCGGGGGTACTGCCAGGGGGCAACCTCCAAGAGAAAGGGGGTCCAGGAGGGACACGGGGGCCAATGAAAGGCAAGACACCGGCCGGCAGAGGGCGCTGCGGAGGCTGGCGAGCTAATTCCCTGGGAGGCCAGCAGGAGGCGCTGCGGAGGTGAGCATTGCCCCGTTCCACAGCCTAATGACTTGCTCCTTGACGTGGTGGTGGTGGAGAATCTTCCCTCTGCTGCAAAAAGTACGAGCCCCTGAACGTCCCGAGCAAGACAGACGAGGCATGGCAGCCGGCCCTCAGCCGGCGTGAGCCTTTAATGCACAGGGTAAGCAGTTTGGTCATGGAGAGGCTGCAGTTGTTGACACAACAGAGAACAGTTGCCCTTGTGCCTGGCTCAGCAGGTCTCGCCTGCATGACATTCTCCCTTTCGCCTGCGCCCAAGCATCATTCAGCAGCGACTGGGCTTTCAACAGGTGCCTGTGGGGGATGGGCAAGGGGGCTCTCACTACTTTAAAGGCTGAAAAACAAGAGGTGCTGAAACTGGCATGCCTCCTCCCCACCTCCCACCCCACCCACCCACCCGCCTTCCTCTTCTGTATCCCCAAACGCCTCCTCGGGCCAGTCCCTCTGTGACCTCCTCCAGCAGCAACAGTGCTTAAAGGTCTGGGGGAAAAGTGGGGTGAGCTGCCATCACCCCTACATCTGCCCATTCCCCTGCCTGGCAATTAATTCCACCCCCCCACCCCCAACACCCAAATCAAGCCTGTCCCCCCATCAACTCTGCCTCTGCATCTGTTCTGCCACATCTCTCCTCCTGCAGCTCCTGGGGTTCTTCACCTCCTTCTCCCAGGCCTGGGGAGGGGCTGCAGCGGGGGCCCCTCTCCCCACTCCAGGCAGGATGTTGCATGCAGGGAGAGGAGGGGCAGAGGAGGAGACCCCATTGTTTACAAGGGGAAGAGGGGGTGGGGGAAGTGGAGCTGCACTGAGCTGCTGGGGGCTCTCTGCTCTCCCCACCCCCCTTGACAAGATGTCACGTCAGTGGGAGGGGGGACAGAACCCTGTCTACCTCCTGCACAGATCTGATTGGCTGCTCTTCCCCAGGAGGTGGGTAAATGGGGAAAGCAGCCAATCGGGGGCAGTCCCCAAGTGGTACTAACTATGTGCCCCACTGAGACAGTTTATGGCCTGGGTCTGCACCCCGTTGCACCGTGAGGCTTGAGCACTGGGTAGCGAGGGGCCTGGCCATGATTCTCTGCTCACATCGGAAGCGCACCCGCCTCTTGCTCAGCCCTGGGCCCGGGGCCGGGCTACTCACTGCTATAGGCACAGCACCTCTGTGTCCGGTTCAGAGTGCTTCCCTGGGAAAACTCTGCTTGTCGGACCATCTCCATGGCAGGTGGTTCTGCTCACATCACTCCCCCGAGCCCCACTCCCCACCACCAGCTCCCCCTTCTCCATGTCATCACACACAAGCTTCTGCTCCTTTCCTTTCAGGTCCTACACTGCTTAGCGCCTCCCTGCTTATCCACACCACACGGCCCTGACTTCCCCCGCTCTGCTGCCCCTACAGCGCCAACCTCCACTCCCAAACCCACCAGTGCATCTTCTTCGCTGCACCCCCTGGGGTGGGCAACGTCCCCCTGGAGCGACCTCTGCCCTCACCTCTTTCAAGCCCCTCTCCGAGGCTCACCCCACTGGGCCACCTATGGGCAACTCCCAGCTGAGACTGTCGGGTCTGTAGGGACCTGGGACCTGATTTCTCACTCACTTTGTTATTTTTTAGAAATAGCTGATTTCAGACCACCTCACCGTGAATAGATCTGGCCTGGGTAAAGGCCTGAGCCACTCCCCGCCTCATTCTTTCCAGCTGTCTGTTACAGCCACTTGTTTTGTCTTGCCTTCGCCCGTGAGCCCTGTCCATGCAGCACCCGGCCCAACGGGACCCAGATCCCTCCTGGGGCTGTTGTGCAAATAACCGAACACATGCAGAGCTGGGAACCAAACCGTTTCGGAGGCACCCAAGAACGTCCCGTGCAAACCTCTCCTGCACCGCGACGTGAGGACTTCCCTACGCCGTGCAAACGGATGTCAGGAGGGGGCTCCATCTCCACGGCTCTGCCTGCTGGGGGAGGTTATGAGGCTATCGACACCAAATCCCCCCCACCCTGCTGCCATGAGCACTGTATCACAGTCCACAGCGTCTGACTCAGCTCAAGCCGCACACTCATCCCAGGTCCCGCTGCTCAGAGACGTACTCCGGGCAGAAGCCGCAGACTCACCCCACTCTTCCTGTCCGATTTCTGGACCGTGTACCCTTTGAGTGCTGCGTTCCCGTTGTCCTTCGGCGGGCTCCACTCCAGCGCCACGTTAAACCCCCACACGTCAACCAGCTTCAGGTTCGCTGGAGGGCCCGGCTGCTCTGCAATGACAACCAGAGGCTCATTCCAGCCGCTGAGGCCATCCCCTGGCAGGTACAGGGCAGGCATGGCGGCTCACAACAGTGGACAGAGAACTCACGCAGCCACCTGCCTGCAGAGATGGCAGCTGCTTTGCTGAGTCCATGGGTTGTGTGTGGCACTGTGGATCAGTATGGGGTGGGAGTAACTAGGGGAACCCTTGGTGGTCTCTCACCCAGAATCTGTCCCATCTCTTATGAATCTGTAGAATCATAGAATATCCGGGTTGGAAGGGACCTCAGGAGGTCATCTAGTCCAACCCCCTGCTCAAAGCAGGACCAACCCCAACTAAATCATCCCAGCCAGGGCTTTGTCAAGCCGGGCCTTAAAACCTCTAAGAATGGAGATTCCACCACCTCCCTAGGTAACCCATTCCAGTGCTTCACCACCCTCCTAGCGAAATAGTGTTTCCTAATAGCGTCCATCACCATGGTGTCCGAGCAGGGAGAGCCCTGCATGTGCGTCTCTCTGATTTCATGGGTTACTCATGTTTGCATGAGCCTACAGCAGCATCCAGGAGTCTGGAAAGAATATGCACCCTGTCCCCCAGCCCCCCCGTCAGTTCTGCTCCCGAGCCCATAATGACCCTCCCACTGTCCCTACTCTCCATCCATTTTGTACCCTCTAATTCATCCCTTTAGGGCATCTTAGCCTTATGCCCAGTAGCAAGCTCCCAAACCCTGCAGTGCTCCTCATGCGGACCTTTCCTCCTGACCACACGTAGTGCAGCGGGCCGAGCACCCTGCTCCGGGAGGTGCTGCAGGAGCTTCCAACGTCTCACACATAAGGACAACACACACACCGCTCTGCCCTGGGATCTCTCCCCCCATTGCTGGGTGCTGGCCAGCAGGGAGTTTGGCTGGCAGCTCCATCCCCAGCCACACCAGGGCTTGGCTATCCCAGCTGGAGCTGCCATGGGGCAGAAGTGAATTCTAGGGGCCCCATGCTGCAGGGAATCTTGCTTGATGGCCGCAGGCCCATGAGAGCCAGCAGAGGCTGCAAAGCTCCATCCAGGCACCGACCCGCACCCAGTGCTTGCACCGTTCTCACCGATCACGTGGATGTCAATGGTAGCTTTGTCCTCCAGCCTGTCTATCTTGACGCTCAGCTGGTACTGGCCAGAGTCACTGCGCTCTGCCTTGCGAATGAAGAAAATGGTGTCCCTGTCACCACTGCGCACGGTCACCCTCTTGGGATCCAGAGGCTGGCCGTCTTTGCTCCAGCTCACCTGGGGCCTCGGCTTTCCCTAGGACAAAGGCGGAGGAGAAAGCTCAGGGGAGCAGTTCAGGTCCATTCCACCAGCCGGGCACCGCCCAGCCAGCTCTATGCCAGTGGTCCTTGTGTGGTCTTTACTGGCGATGCAGAGACGCGCCTTCTGAGAGCACCTTTGAGATGTTAGATTTTTAGGGGGCGGGTGGCTTTGCCTAGTGGGCGAATCTGTGGCTTGGCTGTGATTCCATTTCCAATGCCCGTCTTCTTATTTCCCCTGCAGCTGTGGTATCTCGGAGCAGTCACTGCTAATCAACAGCCTCAAGAGGACAATGCCAGCTGGGCCCATGCTTGCTAAGACTACGGCTAGCGCGTCAGCTGTGACATCAAAATACAGCATCCATCAGACAGGCTATACGCTTTGGCCTGATCCTCCAGTGGGGGCCACAGAGGATCATCTCCATCCCCACCCTCCACTTCCCCGGCTCCTGGCTCTGGCCACTCACTCTTACAGTCTAGTCTAATTGGCTGCAGCAGTGTCAAATTCTCGTTTTCTCTTGCCTTTGCTAGAGAGACCAGAATGTGCAGACAGCGGGGTTTGCTGCTCTGGAGCGCTCAGTGTTTGCAGTGAGTGTCACCTACTGAAGGGCACTGACAGTTAATTACGTGGTTTAATTGGCACGATACCCAGATCACAGCACCAGGCACCTGGCTGGAGAATGCACAGCACTTTGCAGGCACCTACTTGCCAGCAAGAGCCAGAGAGGGAGGATCGCAGGGTATGCGGAATAGACCTTTGCAGCTGCTTGGTTAGGTAAACAGACAGGGCGGACCCTAGGCCCTCGTTGGGGCCCCTAGGCTGGTCACATGGCATTGGGGCCAACAGCTACCCTTGGGGCCAAAGAGAGTTGGAGGATGCCCTGTCCTAGCCAGTCACTGGTGCACGTGTCATCCAAGCCCCCAAGTCACACTCCTGGGAGCAGGCAGGAACCCCCTCCCACACCCTGCAGGGTGGTCAAGGGGATCCCACCAACCCCTCTCTCTGCCGTGGGGTGGGGGGGCATGGAGGATAGCCCTGGGGATGCAGCATCCTCCCTACTCCTGCCAGGTGTGAAGACCCCAATAGCATGGCTCTAGCCCCTCCCACCCAGTCAATGGGCAGTAAATATGTTCCCAGTGCCCCCCATGTGGTTAGGGGTAAAATCCCACTGGGGGCTGTCCCCAAGACCTGGTGCCGAGGAGCTGGGGGAGGGGTGAAAGGGCATTTCCCCATGCCTTGTAATTGGCAGAGCTCCTTTCTCCCTCCAGCCTGTCCTATATCTCCACCCAGCTCTCTGTCCTCTCCCGGGTAGCGTGGGCCCAGCTGACCGCCCAAGCCCATCACCTGGGCTCTCACCCAGGCCCCCTCGTCAACCCTCCAGAGCCAGGCAGCACCCCATTCTCATCTCGTCTTCCTCCGGCATGTGTCCTTTCCGATCTGTCCTGGGGGCCTAAACTCCCCTCCAGGTCTCCTACCTGGGTCACTGCGGCCATGACCCCCAGCTGCTGACACCTCTCTATGGTGCTTTCCTGGCTCTCCTCACCTTATGCCTCTGAGCATCTGCTGACCTTTACCATACTTACTCTCACACAGGCCTGGGAGGCAGGGCACTGCTGGTCCCCATTGGCCAGCTGGGGAACTGAGGCACAGAGAGACTAAGGGACATGCCCAAGGTCGCACAGGGATTCTGTGGCAGAGCCAGGCATTGAACCAGGGGCGCTTGAGTTGCAGGCTAACCACTCTTTTCCCTTTGCTCTCCTCATGCCGCTCGGAGCCCTCCACAAGCACCCCCTGTTTCACCCCACCAAGTTCAAGCTTCCTGTCTCCTCCCCACTTGTCTGCTACTGTCTGTTCTGGGGGTCTCCCTTGAGCCCCCTGCTGCAAGGGAGGAGCCCCCCCAGCATCTCCGCACATGAGAGGGGGTTTGTTGTATAGACAGAGGCCAAGCCCAAGAGCCATTCATTGGAAACATCGACCACCTACCTGGAAAGGGATTAGCAGGTTTACCGCCTCCCCAGCGGGCCGGATGTACGTCTGCCACAGGTGGCGCGGCACTCGGATCTTCGGGTGCTCTAGACAAAGCAGATGTCACACACCCGTCATTTTCATGAGCGCTTCGGGAAATCACCGCCCCGCACTCTCAGCGGGAGTTCCTACGGCAGGCTCTCAGGCCTTCCAGAGCACTTCTTGTCCTAGGTATCCCCAACCGCTCCCTGCCTGGGCAGCACAGGATTGGCTGACTTGGCACTGAAATGCAGCCACCTCTTGGCTGGAGCATGGCTGCCACCTCACACCAGTAACACAACACAAGGGGATTACGGAGCAAGCGGGGAATTACTTCTCCAGCAGAAGCTTGGGCAGGCTGCTGTTGGGCCAGAACATCCCGTCTCTAATGAACAGGGGCTGTGGAGCTGTTACTGCCCACAGGTGGTCGCGGTGTTGGTTTTTTATTGCATCTTAATGGCTGTGCCTCCTGCAGCATAGTACTAAGTAACTCTAAAAACTGATTCAGTTGGGGATTGGTCCTGCTTTGAGCAGGGGGTTGGACTAGATGACCTCCTGAGGTCCCTTCCAACCCTGATATTCTATGATTCTATTGCTGGGACTGGAACTCGCTCCAGAGAGAGCGCCCCCTACTGAGTCACCCTTGCTGCTCCCTGCAGCACAGCGCCCCCTAGCACCACACTGGGTTATTGGGGTCAGTGCTAACTCACTGGAGAGAGTGCCCCCTACAGAGTCATCCAACACCCCTCCCTGTAGCACAGCGCCATCTAATGGGGAAATTTGGTTCTGTACTGACTCAGGGGAGAGAGCACGTCTAAAAGTCATGCAGCACCATTTCCTGCCGCAGCTGGGGTTCCCTGCTTGACTGTGAGCTGAGAGAAGATGGGCCGGATGGTGAGGGGTACCACCTGGGACCTCTGGCGCTAACACCATGTGCTGGAAACTTACTTCTGCGTTCCCTGGGGAACATAACAGAGAGAAGCAGAAAATGTTTGCTAGTGTATACGGACTTTCTGTCTCCTTTACCAGAGTCAAAATAGCAGCAGGGTAACTCTACCACGGCTGCATTTGTTGGGAGTTCCTTTGGAGGCAAAAGGTTTATGCTAGTACATAATAAAAGAAGCGTATGCCTCTCCCAGGATTAACCATGCAGGGGCTTACCTCTAGGAGAGATATTGTATGGGGGGCCGTGTCTAGAGTTAAATCTGAGTTGAATGATGCCTAAACAGCTGTGAGAGTAAAACACAGGCAGTTTAGGGTGGGTAGTGAAGGAATGCCTGACATTCCCAGAAAGCCTGTGCCCAACAGCTGAGCTAGCATCTCCTCCTCGCACGCTTCTATTTGGTCCTGGAATCTTTTCCTGATGCCCACGCTTGCACTTATCAATCTTGGTGGAACAAAGAAATCTCCCCCCCCCCCGAAATAATGTTAATTCATGTGTATCTGTCTCAGCGCCTATACGCACACATCTTCAGATGTAACTCACCCTTGTACAGACCTCATGATAATTGTTTCCCCAGGTGTGAAACCCTTCTTCCTGCCCTAGTTACATGTGAAATGTGCATTGTGTTGACTGTCCAACAGATACATCACAATTCCCCATTCCTGCTTTTAACTGTCTGTCTAGGGGTCTGCGGCTATTTAAAATCTCTTCGGAGCACTCCACATGATTTGTTGAAACAAGTAAACTGCATCAATAAATAAGTGAAAATGGAAGATAACAGATGGAGCAGTGTGAAGTACACACAGTAGGGTTTAGCAGAACAAACATGCACCATTAATAAGCCATACACAGTATTTTGTTCCTAGCACAGCGAGGAAAGCACTGACAGGTGCACATTTAGAATGAAATGCAAAAATTAGGTTAATGCCACTTTCTGGTTGAGATTTTAGCTTGACAGAAACCAGGAAGCTCAAAACTGTAACTTGGCCCCATGGCATAAGCATGCAGGCATCAAACTGGCCAACATACCATAGATACAGAAAAATAAAATACCATGCAAGTTGGCCAAGATACAGTTTGCTCAGGAGCAGCATTCAGCAAATAATGGATTTTTCGGTTTGGCGGCTGAACCCAAAAATCCTGAAATAAATGTTTTAATCAAATAACTTGGAAAAATTTCATTTGGAATCAAAATGTTGGTCAACTCAAAACAAAATTCTATTTTTTTAGTTTTTCATTCTAATTTTGGCCTTTTGGGGGGGGGGTGTTTAAACTGGACAGATTTAAAACTGAAACACTGTTTTGAATGAAAAAAATCTAAACAAAACGTTTTGAAACAAAACAGTCAAAATAAAAAACGTCACCTCTTTTGAAAACACAATTTCCAGTTGAAACTATTCATCGAATTCAAATTCGACAAATGTTTCGGACCCCCAAAAATGCATTTTTCAGCAAAAAACAAAGCAAAAGAATGGCTTGATTTGCTGACAAAATTTCACCCTGATCTATTCGGGACCCATCTTTGAATTGCCTGATTTCAAACATTTGCCCACGGTCGTGCAGTGTTCTGCATTTAGCATGTGTTTTTGGAAGAGACGGTGTTTTCAGACAGCAGCTGGGTGATGGTTAGTGGCCTGTGAGATACAGGAGTTCAGACTAGATGTTGATCTCTTCTGACCTTAAACTCTGTGGGCTCGGCTGCACAGGAAGTTACTGCGTGGCAAGCCAGGCATGTGACTCTATAGCGCACTAGCTTGCCGTGCAGTAACTCATCATTTGCACATTGCTACAGTGCAATGAAAGTTCCAGAGTGCGGCTTAGTTCGCATGGAAATTGGTGCGCTTTAGATTCACATGACTGGCTTCCCACCTAGCAACTCACCATGTAGATGAGCCCTGGCATGTCTACACAGGGACACTCAGGAAAATTAATCTGAACTAACTAAAGGTATGAATTTACAGTGGATTAGTGAAACCACATTAAACACCTATGTGGACACTCATTTGGAAATAAATGGCCTTAATTCAATTTAGTTTAATTCACTTGCAGAGTGAACTAAGACAGGCCTTGTCTGCACTAGGACATCAGCTAAAATTACCAGTTGATCTGCTTCTGGGAGCACAAGTGTTGACATGGAGCTGATGGCTGCAGGCATATTAAACATTGGTTTGTATACACTTGCTCTGAGCAAGTTTAGACAACACTGCCTGCAACATCCTGGCAGAGGCCAGAAGCCCTGTGTATGCTAATAACACACTGGAGCTAAGGTAGCAGTAGCCATCAAAATACATCAAATCCAATCAAATCCATCAAAGAATCCTCGTGTGAACACAACAAAGAGTCCTGTGGCACCTTACAGACTAACAGATGTATTGGAGCAGAAGTGAATACCCACTTCGTCAGACGCATGACGGCTACCCCTCTGATGTGTGAACACAGACACAGTTTGTGCTCCTGCCTGACGGGATTACAAATTGCATTACATCTGCTGTCAACTGCGTTGCTGGAGGGGGGTGCTCATCGAGAGAACATCATCCACCAGCACAACTGTCTAATCCTAATCCCTCGCCACAGTGATCATAGAAACCGTGAGAGCTGTAACCATGTGAGCTGATGGGAAGCACAGTCCTGCTGCTAAGGGTGTACAGGGCCTCAGCATTCCACACCCCACATGGGATACTGCAGGACAGGAGTAGCAATGGCCATTCAAGCTTTATATCCCTTTTTTCAGCTCCAGATTGCTTTAGTGGAGTTTTCCTACGGGGTTAACGTTTCTCAGAAGCGATTTATTTTATTTATTTTTTAGCAGGGGGAGTGTTTAAAGAAAATCCACTGAGCTCTGAGTTACAGCAACATGAAAACGTACAGGTTAATGTAGCAGGGCAGGAACCCCGCTCCTGCCCTGAAGGGCTTAAAAACAGCCCTGGGAGAGGGCTGTGGCAGGGCAAAGCAGCGAGCCTGGGCTGATTGGGGAAACAGCCACAGCTGGGCCACGCCCCAATCAGGCTGCAGCTGGCCCTTATAAGAGGGCAGTGGGGCAGGAGCAGTCAGTCTCTCTGTATCTAGAGGGAGAAGGGCCTAGCTGCGGGGAAGCTGAATAGGGTACCTGAGTGGAGCAGGGCTGGGGGATAGGGCAAGGGAGCTGGGGAGTTCCTGCCCAGAAAAGCCCCAGGCTGCAGCCTTGTCAAAGGCCAGAAAGGTACTAGGGTGCAAGGGTGCAGCCCAGGGTAGGCAGAGGCAGCCGGTCCAAAACCCCCTGGCCTGTGATGATTGGCTTATACAGACTGCAGTCAGCCCCAGTGAAAGGGAGCTAGATGGTGACTGGCAGTAGCCACTGAGGCTGGGTGGGGGTTCCCCTGGGTGGGGAGACCCTGAGAGCGGGTGTACTACCAGGGGCAGCGCCCGAGGACAGGGGACACCAGGTCCGGGAGGGACACGGGGGCTAGCAGCAGCGAGGCACCAGCCTGCAGAGGGCGCTCCGGAGCTGAAGAGCTAATTCCCAGGACGACTGACAGGAGGCGCCGCAGCGGTGAGTCCTCGCCCTGCTACAGTTAACAATTTCTTAGTCCTTTCTGCTCTTGGACAGCTTTGTATTCCCATGTCACAAGTGACGTGTTCATAGCCCTCCAAGAGGAACGTGAGCCTTGCTAAGTGTGGGGATAACGATTCTTTAGCCAGTTTGAAGTGAGTCACGTTCCCATGTTGCACACAGACAGTGCTTACCTCTTCTGAGCAAAATAAACAGGCATCATTCCAGCACACAGACAGTCGCATACATGTGTGTGAATGTGCAACAACACATAAGTGTGCAAAGGACAAGTGAGCCAACAGATGATATGAGTGTTTAACTAGAGGAGTGTAAGTGCACACACTGAAATAACAAAGCAAATGTTTATTTCAATTATTAGAATGTTCAAATGAACGCCTTTTGCTGGAGGTTGGTGATACATGGGCATTCCATGAGAGGAAGTGTCTAGACAAAGGTCAGGGACATCCAAACGGAGTGCCCTGAAATCAATGGATGTTGCACCCATTTACATCAAGGCTGAATTTGACCCAATAACTATTATTTGAGAAATAGCATTTGCTCACAATTGAAAGCCATACTGTAATGCATCAGTGGGCAGAGTTAAGGGTTAGTGAGAGTTCAACCTTAGCTGAGCACATACTGACTTGTGTGCTTCTTTGTGCTACCATAATGTTGCACCCATGTCGCTTCTGTATAGGCTGCATAGAGTGAGGACAATACCGTACCGAGTATCTCTCTGATGACAACAGGCTGCTCCAGGACAGCTGGAATACTCATGCCCCCAACATTCACTGCCTTCACACGAATCTGAAGTCTATCTCCTGATGTCAGGTTGCGGATCGTGTACCGGGTAGAAAGAAAGAGTTCTTTGTTAGCAGCTACCCAGTCTGCAGCTGGAACAAACAAACAAAAGATCTTCCTTAATAAGACAGCAGGTTACAAGCGGAAAAAAGCTAACTTCCAAATAAAGTAAATGACGGAAGTTAAATGGATTCTGACAACGTTCATAGGCCCAACATGGGACCAGTTTTGTGGTAGTGCAATGCACCCGTCTACAGAATCTAATTCTCTCCATATGGGAGTTTCCCAAAACTACTTCAATGCACAGCCAAGCCCTCATGAACTGTGCCTGTGCCACCGATCAAATCCCTAGCTAGCAAGTTGTCAATTTCATTCCCAGTAGAATGCAACCCAAAAGACCGGTGTGCAGCTTCCTCCATCCCCAGCGCAGCTGGCTAAGGAGTGAGTAATGCTGGTTTGGTGAGTTATGATCAGACTTTCAGTGTGACTCTGCTCACTTTCTCTTTCCCTCACTTTTCCTGAGCATTCGTGACTGGACTAATATTCCCAGAGAGCAGCTTTCTCAGAGCTGGGCTCAGAGCCAAGAGCCACTGCTTTGCAACACCAGCTTTGATTCAGGCAAAGGCAGCAGAAGGTTATAAAGGTCAGGTTATCCAGTCAGGGAACAGAAACAATGCCATGCGGCTAGAGGTGACCATTTGCACAGCGTGACTATGGATCGGTGAATATCAGATACGCGAAGGAGTGCTCGCGCAGGCTGAAATTTGCTACATAAAATATCCATCAAACAATCTGGAATAGCAAACAACTTGCAAACCGGAAAAAGGGGCAAAACTCACTGAATAAATTGCTCATTCTGAACTGTTCAGCTAGGGTGACCAGATCACAACAGTAAAATACTGGGACACGCTTGGGTGCTGTCAGCCCCGCCCACAGTCCACTCCTGCTCCTCCCAGGCTCCGCCCCCACTCTGCCCCAGGTCCCGCCCCCTCCCCACTCGGGCCCCCCTGCCACTGCGCCCTTCCTCATCCCCTGGCCCACCACTGGCTTGCTGCATCCCTCCTCAGTCCCCCAACCACCGCTTGCCTCTTCACACACCCCCCACCCGCCACTTGCCTTAAACTACGGTGCTGACCTCCCCTCTGCCCGGTGGGTGCTCGCCCGTCCCCTGCCTCTTCCCACCCCTGCACTGCCCTCGCCCCACCCCCATTCCACCCCTTCCACAAGTCCCCACCCCTGCCCTGCCTCTTCTCTGCCTGCTCCCCTGAGCGCGCCGCATCCCCACTCCTCCCCCTCTCTCCCGGAAAGTCCTAAGTGCCACCAAACAGCTGTTAGGCGGTGGGAAGCGCTGCGAGGGAGGGGGAGGAGCAGGGACGCGGCGCACTGGGGGGGAAGGAGGCGAGGAGGGGGGAGCTTGGCTGCCGGTGGGTGCAGAGCACCCACACCCACGGAGTCAGCGCCTCCCTCCCACTTGCTTCCTTACCCGAATATCAGGACAAATGGGGTCCCGATCGTACATCGATCAGGACAAAGGGTTAAATATCGGAACAGTCCTAATTTTATTGGGACATCTGATCACCCTATGTTCATCCAGGGCTTGCCCCCAGCAAACCAACACTCACCAGCCCCCTCGGATCCACCAACCAACCAGGGCTCGTTAGCCATCCCCACCAGCCAGCTCACTCGTACTTATCAACCTCTCAGAAAGAAAACTAGTGTGCTATTCAGCGTCCAAAAGGGGAATGGCCCACAAGTGGGAAACTTTGCACATTCAGGTGCTGCACAGAATCTAGGGCATTGCTGCTTCCCCCTCGGAGCCGTCCTGCTGCGAGCCTCAGGCTCCATCATACTCCGCTTTGTGAATTCCCACTGAGCCTCTGGGGAGTCAGTAGCGTAGCAGGCAACACCACTAGTTGTTGGTAAGTTGACAGCCACATAGCAGGGCTTGTCATCCACCCCAACAAACCAATCTACATGCCCTTGCCTCCCCAAGCCAACTAACCAGGGCTCCCTGACCAGGGCTTCACAGCCGCCCCAAAACAAGCAATGGGCTAGGACTCCTCTACCATCCGCTAAACACGAACTAGGGCTTGCTGGCCAGTCTCAGCCAGAGCTAAACAGCTGCCTTCAACCGGCCACAGCTTGGGAGCACAATGCCTCTAACGTAGAGTCATAGACTTTAAGGTCAGAAGGGACCATTACGATCATCTAGTCTGACCTCCTGCACAATGCAGGCCACAGAATCTCACCCACCCACTCATGTCATAAACCCCTAACCTATGTCTAAACCCCTAACCTATGCTAGCCGGCCAAAGCTTGGGAGCCTCCAAAAGCCAATCAAAGTAAGGATTGCCAGCCAGGCCATCCAACCAGAAACATCCACACCTTGGAAGAAGCCCTCAAGATCCACCAGTCCGTCCCCCCCAAAGCAGCCCCCCAGAACAAGCTTGCCTCAGCACCCAAACAAACAAGGGTCACAAGCCCCCTTCCACCCCCAACCACCAGCAAGGTTTGTGCATCAGCCAAAACTTTCCAACCAGGCAAAACTCTCATGCCGGCCCCAACCAACCAACAGCCCAGCTCCAACCAGCTAGCCAGGGCTCAACAGCTACCCACTGCCAGATGGCCAGGGCTCCTTTACCAACTAACCAGGCCCTACACAATCAAGGATCATAACAGACTGGATATTAGCCCAGCTCTCTCCAAACAGGTGCTTGGTTTAGCACCAGACTTGGGAGTGTCAGGCTGTGAAGCGCTTTTGCCTCCTTCACTACACAGTTCAGTGTTAGGTGCCTGCTGGTGGCGATGTAACCTACATGAAGGCAGCGTCCCATCCTACCAAGGCTCATGGTCTACCCCAAGCCAGCCAGTGCCCCTAAACCTCTCCCTATCAGCCAGCCACAAGTAGCACTCTGCCCCAAACCCACCAACCACAGTCCGTGGGCCTGCTGCAACCAGACATCATGGACCCACACTATCCAACTAAACAACCAAAGGTTCACATGGCATCCTGCCCTCGCAGCCCTGCCAGGCTCATGAATCGCCCCACACATCCAGCTAACATTCATCTCCCACCAACAAACCCAGCCAGAGCTCCCCAGCATCCTCCAAACCTCAACCCACCAACGAATGCAGACAGGGCATCCCCCAAACACCAGTCTGAAAAACACGATGGGGCAAATCCTGCCAGCAGCCAGGGATCAGCCCCAAAGAATCAGCCAACCAATGCCTGCCAGTGGCACCAATGAGAACTTGCCAAATGCCACCAGCCAATAAGGTCTCCCTCCCTCGCCTGCCCTGTTCCATCAACCAGCAAAGCAGCCAGTGGACTAATCAGAGACCATCAACTTGCCAACCAGAGCCTGCCAGCTGCCACCAGCCCACCAAGTTTCACTAGCCTAGTCCAATCCAGTTTGCCACCATCCAACTCACCACCTGTCCTCAACCCAGGAACCAATGCCTACAGCTTCAGCCAAGCATGGCTTGCCAGCTCTCCCCAACCGTCTCTTCCTAATCCTTACATTTCCTTTCAGGTCCATGAGGATTAAATATTTCTCCTCTCCCTGCCCATCTCCACCCCCTCACCAATCATCCTGAGTCCGAAGCCAAAATATATTGCACCTGCCGATCAAACATAACGCCAACATGTTCAAAATTGGTTGCCTATTTCTATATATAGGCATTTAAATATATGGACTGCTTTTCCGAGGCACTGAACAGCCACAATACCTGCTGATTTCAATAGACTGCTGAAAATCAGGTCACTTATTTAGGAGACAAAATAGAAACACAGACCTAGAGCCTCAAAAGGATTTAGGCACCTAATGTCCATTGAAATCAATGAGTCAGGTGCCTAAACACCTTTGAGGATTTGGGCCACAGGGCCCTGAAGTGAGGCACACAAGTTTGAAAATTTGGGACTGACCTTCTTAGTGCCCGTCCGTTTGTCCCTAACTCCCCACCCCTCCGCTGTTCCTCTGCAAACTTTTTCCTCCTCCTGATGTTTTTATGGCTTTCTGGCATCCAGATCTACATTCATATGTAGTGATTCAGATGTTCAGAGACCCCAACATAGGACAAGGAGCCACCCTGCTGTTCCCACCACCGTCTCCCAACTCCAGTGGCTCAGGAAGAGAGACTTGGGTTCATAGTCACAGATTTCAAGGCCAGAAGGGACCACTGTGATCATCCTGTCTGACCTCCAGTAAAACACAGGCCAGAGACCCCAATATAATTCCTAGAGCAGAGCTTTTAGAAAGACATCCCATCGTGATTTTAAAATGGTCAGCGATGCAGAATCCACCACAACCCTCAGTAAATTGTCCCAATGCTTAATTACCCTTGCCATTAAAACTATACACCTAATTTCCAGATTGAATATGTCTAGCTTCAACTTCTAGCCATTGGATCGTGTTAGACCTTCTTCTGCTAGACTGAAGAGCCCATTATTAAAAATGTGTTCCCTGTGTAGCTACTTATCGACATAATCAAGTCCTTTTATCCCATGGGAGCAACGTGTCCACCACTGGTCGTCACTGGAGATTAAACCTGTGGCCTTCAGCACGAAATTATGCCCCCCTTCCCGTTGAGTTATTGGAGTCAACCCAGTATCTGGCAGCAATAGTAAGCTCCTAGCCTCTATGGAGAGCTGGTCAATTTTTATTTATTTGGAACTTTCAAAGAAAAAAGAAATTTTACACAAAAATGTTTTGCTGGTTTTCAACCAGCTCCTCCCCTGTGTGGCCTGGCTACGAGTCAGGGACATGACACACTCAGCTAGTGTGTTACATGATCTTCCCCATTAACACACAGCTCTTCATGCTTAGAAAGGAGTAAAGCTCAAGCCTACTTCCATCTTTGCAGCACTCCACCAGGTATCCATCCAGGCCAGCGGAGCCTGCCTGCTCTGGGGCCTTCCATGTCAGGGACACCGAGTTATCATTCACGTCCTCCACTGCCAGGTGCAATGGGCAGCTGGGCGGCTCTGTAACAAACATAGACACGTTAGAAATACACGGAACCCCCCACTGACGCAACCCCTCCGGCTAGGCCTGTTCGCCACACACAGCCTCTCAATGCATTTCCCAAGTGCCTACCACGCTCCCACCCCAGCCTCCCCCACCCACCCCATCCACCCAGAGACACCCACCCCAGGCTCTCCCGTCCATCCCCAGACACCCACCCCAGCCTCCTCTGGCCCCCCATGCACCCACAGACACCCACCTCAGCCTCTCCCACTCACCCGCCACAAGACACCCACCCCAGCCTCCCCTGGCCCCCATCCACCCACAGACACCCACCCCAGCCTCCCCTGCACACCCCTTGAGACACCCACCCCAGCCTCCCTCACCCACCCCCCACAAGACACTCACTCCAGCCTCCCCTGCCCACCCCATCCACCCAAATACACCTACCCAGTCTCCCCTGCCCAATCCATTCACTCCTAAATGCACCCACCAGCCTCCCCATGCCCCAAAACACACCCAGCCCAGCCCCACACACTCACCCCATTCCCCCCTGCCCACCCCAGCCCCCCAATACACCCTCCTCAGCCCCCTTGCCCACACCCATGCACCCAGATACCCAACGTAAGAACGGCCATAGCAGGTCAGACCAATGGTCCGTCTAGCCCAGTATCCTGTCTCTGGCAGACAGGGCCAGGTGCTTCAAAGAGAATGAGCAGAACAGGGCAATTACTGAGTGACCCATCCCCTGTTGTCCAGTCGGAGGTTTTGGGACACCCAGAGCATGGAGTGCATCCCTCACAATCTTGGCTAATAGCCATTGATGGACCTGTCCTCCATGGACTTATCTAGCTCCTTTTTGAACCCTGTCATACTTTTGGCCATTTTGGCCTCCCTTTGACCACCTCATCCCCTAAATACACCCCTCCCCCACCCGCCAGACTAACCCTCTCCCCTCCTTATGGCCCCCAGCCTCCCTCTGCCCACTCCATTCCCCTAAATACACCCCTCCCCCCGCCAGCCTAGCCCCCTCCCCTCTATGCACCTCCAGCCTCCCCCTGCCCACCCCTAACCCCGAGGATGGGCTCCCGGGTCCGCCTGGCTCCCTCTGCACAGACGCTCCTCTCTGACCAGATTCATGGTCCGCTCCCCTCCCCTCGCGCCCCCCGGCTCCCCTTCACCTGCTTTAGGCTCCCCGCGCTCCGGAGCAGCGGCCGGGGGCTGGGGCTGGGGCTCAGGCTGCAGGGCGCCCTCTGCTGGCGAGGCTGGAGCCGCTTCTGCTGCCCGGTCTTCGGCCGGTTCGGCTGCTGGGGTCGCCTGGGCCAGCTCTGGGTCTGGGTCTGGTTCTTTGCCGGGCATGACCGCAAGGTCTGGGGGCTCCGCTCTAGGGGGAAAGAGGGCTCTGCTCCGGATGGGACCGTGTTTCTGCTCTGGATCTGGGGGGCACCGCTCCGGATGGGACCGGGTCTCTGCTCCGGATCTGGGGGCACCGCTCCGGATGGGACCGGGTCTCTGCTCCGGATCTGGGGGGGCTCCGCTCCGGATGGGACCGGGTCTCTGCTCCGGATCTGGGGGGCTCCGCGCCGGATGGGACCGGGTCTCTCTGCTCCTGATCTGGGGGGCTCCGCTCCGGATGGGACCGGGTCTCTTTGCTCCGGATCTGGGGGGCTCCGCGGGAGGGGACCGGGTCTGTGAGTCGCTGGAGGCTCGGGAATTTTTATAGGCTCCGGCTGCCACCTGTCACCTCCCCGCAGCCCCCTGCCGCGGGCGGGGGCCGCCGCCAGGAATAGCCTCCCGAGAGCTGCGCGTCCCCGACTCCCCCCACCCGGCCACCCCGGCCAGGCCGGGAGCTGCGGGGCTCCTGACTCCGCCCGCCCGGGACCGGCCCCGTGCGCCGCCGCCCCGCAGCGGGCCCCCAGCGCCTCCAGGGCAGGGCAGAGCGGGGCGCTCCCCAAACCCGATGGCCACAGAGTCTCCTAAACTGAGCCGCTGTGGGTACCGCTCCCCTGACCCCCACTCCCTGAGTCACCCCCCTGACCCCCACTCCCTGACCCACCCCCTGTAACCCCCCCACCCCCACTCCCTGAGTCACCCCCCTGACCTCCCCTGGCCTCCACTCCCTGACCCACCCCCCTGACCTCCCCGACCCCCTCTCCCTGACCCAACCCCCATGACCTCCCCTGACCCCCACTCCCTGAGTCACCCCCCTGACCCCCACTCCCTGACCCACCCCCCTGACCTCCCCTGGCCTCCATTCACTGACACACTCACCAACACCCTCCACTTCCCCCCACCACCTACCCTTAATTCCCCCCACTCACTAACCCAGTTGGTGATTTCCCCCGCCCCCGACCCTCACCACTCCCTGAGTCACCCCCCTGACCTCCCCAACCCCCTCTCCCTGACTCAACCCCCATGACCTCCCCTGACCCCCACTCCCTGAGTCACCCCCCTGACCCCCACTCCCTGACCCACCCCCCTGAACTCCCCTGGCCTCCATTCACTGACACACTCACCAACACCCTCCACTTCCCCCCCCAACCTACCCTTAATTCCCCCCACTCACTAACCCAGTTGGTGATTTCCCCCCGCCCCCGACCCTCACCACTCACTGAGTCACCTGCCATACTCCAGGACACTGAATTCCATGAGTCACTGATCTGCTCCCGCCTGGCACTTCCTGGGTCCCTGGCATCCATATTAGTCATCTTGGGTTGCAAATAGGGTGACCAGATGTCCTGATTTTATAGGGACAGTTCCGATTTTTGGGTCTTTTTCTTATATAGGGTCCCACACCCCTGTCCCGATTTTTCACACTTGCTGTCTGGTCACCCGGGTTGCAAACAAGGTGAGCAGGTGTCGTTCCCCCCCCCCCCTTCCCAACAGGGTCTAGTGGACATGGGAGCAGGGGTTACTCTGTCCAGCTGCCTGGGCCAAGAGGGGAGGAGGCTTTGTTCTTTTAACAGAAATAAAGTGCACTCAGGTTATATCAAATTCAGCCACAAAGCAAGAATAGCACTGAAGGATTAAGCACTCTTGGTTCTCTCTCTCTCTCTCTCTCTCCATTTTTACCACACTCATCTCTGCATGCCAGTGCCTAATAGAAGTGTCATCACCACTGTATAAAGGCCCCATGTGGTCTCTTTTCCTCCCTACCTTTCCCCGAGGCAGCCAGAAAGTTTTCTCCTCTTTCTCCACATTTGTAGTTCTTTATGTTGTGGCCAGGGAAAAGTTGTATGGTGTCTGTTTCCAATCTCATAGGCCAGCTGCGGAGAAAGCTCTGTCTGCTGCCCTGGTGGGCTTTGCCCTTGGAGCAGACGATTTCATAGTTCCTGAGAAACTTGCCTGCCTAGGGGGATCATGGCTGCAGAGAGGCAGGCTTGGGCCAGTTACCTAGAGGGCATTAAAGATTAGTGCTCAGCCTGAATCTAGGCCACTCTGGGGTATAGGGAGCTACTGCTGTAAGCAGTGCACCAAGGTGATATACTTGCAGCCGCCCATCTGGTTGAGGAGATGGGCTGCTGCATGCTGGACTAATGAAAGCGTTTTTAATGTTGGGGTGCTCATTGCTAGGTGGGGCGAGCTGCCGTAATGCAACCAGGAGGGCATGAAAGCGTAGACCACCGCGGCCTAGTCAGTGTCTGCGAGGAGCGGGACAAGGAGCTGCGCAGTGGAGGAGACATTTTTAGCCACTGTAGTCATCTGAGTATCCAACATCAGCAGCGCAAGGTCCAGAAGCCCCAGGCTGCACATTGATCTGACCATCTGAAAGCAGACTCAATACAGGGCAAAGTTATAGGGGTGGCCAGATCTTCCGAATGTTTCCCTCTTCAGCCACCAGGTTTAGTTTCAGCCAAGCGGCGACCATCCAGGTGCCAATGTCAGCCAGGCACTGGGCCTGCTGAGAGATAGTTGCATTCGCAGTGGCAGCTGTAAACGATATGTTAAATGACGAGTAATCTGCATGTTGCCAGCACTTGAGACTCAGCACTTGAGACTCAACCCTTGAGTCCTGCCAAAACCCTCCAGCACGTCATTCTGGCACTTTTATGGGGATCCGGAACAGCTCTGCTGGCACTTCTAGTACTTCCAGTATTTGCATTCTCAAGCACAGTGCTCACCTGCCAATGAGTCCATGATTTCTCGTGATCCCACCTCCCCCCCCACCCCCCCATGGCCTTATGGAGATGTTAAATAGGATGAGGGAAAGAACAGAACCAGGTGGAACTCCACAAGGTATTCACTATTCTCTAGGAACTGCAGAAAGAAAGGGTTGGGCCCATCTCAGCACTTTTCTGTTAACTTCTGCTATAGCTTCACGCCAGGAGAGTAATTGATCATGATCATTAGCATCCAAAACCACCCAGAGATCCAGTAATATGGATATGGACATTCTGGCCACAGTCCAGGGACATTCTCCTTCTGTCCATTCAGCGGCATGGCCAGCATTATTTTCACTGCACACCCCAGCCTGGAGGGATCTAGGACACAGGTGTCATTGTAAATGGCTCTTTGCTGGTTTTTCTATTACTATATTCAAAATTAGAAGGATACCAGGCAGTAGCAGGTCATGTCTGTTAAATCAAGAGATGGCTTCTTGGGTACCAGTTGGATACCTCATACACAGTCCCGTCTGAAAAGGGGTATTGACAATATCTGTTAGTAGTAGTCCTAGCTGTTGTCAAGTCACTTTCACAAGCTAGGAAGGATGTGGGTCTGAGGCCCAGATAGATCCTCAAGGGTATTTAGGCTCATAATGTCCATTGAGGCTCTGGGCCTGACTCAGATTTCCTTCAGCATTTCTGCTATTTTTCTCTGTGTTAAATGCAAGTGTGGGTTTAGCATGGGTCCCTTTCCACCCAGAAATCATGAAACCAAGGGTGCCAAACTTGAGTGGTGCTGTGACTCCATGCACCTGGTCAGAACGCCGGGTGCAGGGAGCTAAGCCTAGACCCATGGGACAGGAGCTGCTGCTGTGGGGTGAGTGAGGAGTGGGCTAGCTCTCCAGACCACCACCACCATCACCCAGGGCCTCCCAGCTCACCAGGCTAGGATTAGGGTACCAGTGCTGGGACAGAAGGTGCTGTTGAGGGTGGTTGGTGCCCCTCCCTTGACTACAACTCAAAATCATGTCCAAGAAGAGTGCACCCCTGTTTATTATGGAACACTAGTAATGCACAAGTTAAAAAAGTAAAAATAAATGTCTTTGCAAAAACTGCAAAAGCACGTAAAACATGTATAGTTATGCTAAAGAATTGAAAAACCAGACTAAAAAGCAAAAACGTATTTTAACAAAGGGGGGGGGGTAAAGAGTGAAAAAACAGGTTATTTTTCTGTCATATGCTGTACCCAAGCACAGCTTGTGTTACAAATGACTTGATCCGTATTGTATTGTAAATAAACTAAGGTAATCTATGTATACATGAGGGTTACTAAAAACAAGGGAAATGTAACACCAAACAAATAAACAAAAAATTTTTACTGTTAATCAACGTAAGCTATTTAAGCGTGCATCCCACAGACCACAAACACCAGGAAATATCAGTACACAGTGGAAAAAAACGCCGTGTTGAAAATATTTTTTTAAAGTGTGTTATAAATATCAGACTGGTCCACTACACTTCTGCCTACTATACATGGACAAACGAGTATGCAATGAACTATAGAAACATAAAAACCACTAGCCGGGCCAGGTCTAACTGTTATTTAAACTGTATATTATTAAGCAAAGTAAGTTCACGCATATACCTGTGGTTTTAAATCTTTCTCACTAAAATATGGTGAAATTTGGTTACTGTATAAAAACAAATGTATCATTACTGCATACTTCTTGGTTAATTAATATGATGGCATCTTATCAGGAATGTCCACAAAACTCAAGGGCTGGTCGAAAAACTATTTCACAGTGTGGTATCTTTCAAAATACTGAAGAACACTCCAAAATCTAGATGAAATTCTTGGCTACATTTCAAGATGATCTAAATCTAAACATCTTCTTGAAACAGGGGTAATATATATAAAAAAACCACATGAACTATTTTGACCACCAGGCAGTGGAAACCATTTCTAAACTATGGTAGTGAGGGCCTGGCCGCTAAGAAACGGTACACCATTTACAATATGCATACCATTGCTAAACTGTAAAAACACAAGTACAAATTAATACATTATTTACAGTAAACAACCTAAAAGCAAGGGGAAATCATGTTGGTAGGAAAATTATATGTACCACTTACAGGTAACTCCCATAACCAACTCATTAGAAAACACTGAAAAAGGAAAATTGCCCAACCTTATTAACAATAAACAGTTAGCTAACTGGTAACAAAAACTATAGCTAGCTGGCAGTGTGTTAAAGCATGTAACCAAATTCCCTTTAAGAACCATTTGAGGTCAGTAACACAACATCCTAATTGAGGCACACGTTATTCAAAACAATCTTGCTTAGTAT